AAAGAAAGAAAGAAAGAAAGAAAGAAAGAAAGAAAGAAAGAAAGAAAGAAAGAAAGAAAGAAAGAAAAAGAAAACAGAAGGACAAACAGACCCTCAGACACCCCATGGGAGCTTCACACACTAGCAAAGTAACCTCTCTGGGCTCAGCTAATGAAAAGGAGGGCTGGGGTACCGGCGAAGGGTTTGCTTGAGCTAGGATCAAGTTTTTCGGGGCCACATTTTATGGCAGGAGCCTAGAAAGAAGGTGAAGGACAATACACCCCTTTAAAGAGCTCAGAGAGGTGCAGTGCACCGGGCCAAGGTCATACTTCCTGCCTTGCCTAAATGCAGCCAGCAGAGCAAACCCCAGCCTCCCGCTGTGAGTTTGAAGGAGCCAAAAGATCTAGCGGCAGAGCCCCAGTTTGCCAGGATGCTGGCTCTTAGTCTCTGGAGAAGCGCCCAGGAAGCAAGCGTCCCATAGTCCCGTCTCAGGGCTGCAAGGCTGCTCCCTGGATAGTGCAGCCTCAGTCCCCGGGTCACCCATCCTCTCTGACCCTCAACACTTACCGAGGTAAATGCGCAGCAGCCCCAGGACCAGGGCGGCTCGTGGACCGAGCCTCATGTCTCCGAGGACTGGTCGCAAGCCTGGCCACTGCCGAAGCGGGGTGCTGGACCTCGGAGCATGCCCTAGGCGCCGGAGGAGAGCAGAGGCGACGTCGTAGGTGGCTGAGGCGGCGGCGGCGGCGGCGGCGGCGGCGGCGGCAGTAGCGGGAGGGAGGGAGAGCGAGCCGGTGGTGCGAGGGCGCTAAGCGGATGACAGCTCGCTCGTGGATCTGCACAGCTGCATGGCTCCGGTCAGACGACTAATGAGACCAATTACTGGAACCAGCTTAGTGAAGCGGGCGGGAGAACTTGACAAGACCACTTCCCTCCTACCACGCCCTCTATGCCCTAGCAACCCAGGAGCACCAGGTGCAGAGGTGGAGCTTTGCGCATAGAGGAACTGTGTGCCTGCCCCAGACTACCTTGAGCAAGCTGCAAGAAATTCGGGGTTTCCTGGGATTTGATGTGGCTCTGGCTGCGCACGGATTTTCCTGCGTTGTTTATTAATCCATAACTGTAATTTTGCTACTGCTATGGATTGCAATGTAAATATTTTGTTTGGGGGTAGTAGTTTGGCATGGGGGTCGCGGCCCACAGTTTGAGAACCATACAGCTATCTACAATACAACCATTAGATCTAGTCCTGTTTTCAGACGCATTTGTATACACAAACTCGCCATCTGCAAATGAATTTGCTCATCAACGCGTGGGTTTTTTGTTTGTTTTTATTTGTTTGTTTGTTTTCGGATTTTTAAGACAGGGTTACTTTGTATAACCTTGGCTGTTGTGGAATTCTCTCAGTAGACCAGGTTGGCCTCGAACTCACAGAGTTCTCACAGAGGCCGGCCTCTGCCTCCTGAGTGTTTGGATCAAGGGCATATGCCACCACTTCTCTACATGTAATTTTATCTGTGTATGTAAGTATGCACACCCATAACGAACACACAAAAGGACGTGAGCCAGGCTCTCTAGGTTCTCTCTAGGGATAAAGAAGCAGCATATGTTCACTATGCTATCTCAGGCTCATGGACCTCATGAAGACTGGAACACAGATAAGCTCAGAGATGTGATGGGTATTTTACAGATGGGAAAACTGAGGCTCTTAGAAGTCACCTGATATCACATAAATGTATGTGTGACAGAGCCATTGTTTGATCCCCAAGTCTGTCTCAGAAACTCATGCTCCACCTTACCAAGTGCATCACTCCTCCTGGGACCATGGACTCCTTTAGTTCTCATTGAAATTGTATACTTTCTCTAATGACCCTACTGTATCCTCTATGCATGTCTAGGTTCTGCAAGGAGCTAACAAAGGAAATATGTGACTTGGAGTCTCAATATTGTACAGTCACTTCTATATTCTTTGTTTTTTTTCCAAGCGTGAGTAGCCACGTTCATTTACTGCCATCTGCCCTTTCTGAGCAAAGTTCTTCACTGATGGGTGATGTTGCTGGAAGCCAGTAAGGAGGAGGAGGAGGAGGAGGAGGAGGAGGAGGAGGAGGAGGAGGAGGAGGAGGAGGAGAAGGAGAAGGGCGGTAGATAGAGCTTAGTGGTTAAGAGCACTGGTTGCTCTTCCAGATGTCTTGAGTTCAATTCTCAGCAACCACAAGGTGGCTCACAACCACCTGTAATAAGATCTGGTGCCATCTTCTTTTGTGCTCGTGTACATACAATAAATAAATAATTAAAAATGGTGTGTGTTACCACACCTGCATCTGCATTGTTAAAAAACAAAAAAATAGGAAAAGAAAGAGACATACAATGTGGGACAAACTCACTAAAATCTATGCATCTAAAGAAACCAAGCAAGAGAGAGGACCCTAACTAAAATGTTCAATCCCCACCTGAAAGGCAAAGAGGATGGACATCAGAAGAAGAAGAAAACAGGAAACAACCTAGAAACCTGCTACAGAGGGCCTCTGAAAGCCAGAAGAAGAAAACAGGAAACAAACTAGGAACCTACCACAGAGGGCCTCTGAAAGCCTCTGCCCTGCAGACTATCAAAGCAGATGCTGAGCCTGATGGCCAACTGTCGGGCAGAGGGAATGGAATTTTATGTAAGAAGTGGGAAATAGTAAGAGCTGGAGAGGACAGGAACTCCACAAGGAGAGCAACAGAACAAGAAAATTTGAACACAGGGAACTTCCCAGAGACTCATAGTCCAACCAAGGACTATTCATGGAGATAACCTAGTGTGAGACCCCAGTAAGACCTGGGGTCTCACACTAGAACCCTTGCACAGATGGAGCCCATGGCAGGTCAGTGTCCAAGTGGGTTACCTAGTAATGGGAAGAGGGACTGCCTCTGACATAATCTGATTGGCCTGCTCTTTGATCACTTCCACCTGAGGGGGGATCAGCCTTACCAGGCCACAATAGAGGACAATGCAACCACTTTTGATGAGAACTGATAGACTAAGATCAGAAAGGAGAGGGGAACCTCCCCTATCAGTGGACTTGGGGAGGGGCATGCATGCAGAAACGGGAGGGAGGGTGGGATCGGGAGGGGAGGAGGGAGGGGCTTATGGGGGGATACAAAATGAATAAAGTGTAATTAATAAAAAATAAAAAAAAGTTAAAAAAAAAAGGAAAAGAAAGAGCTGCCTGGTCTTTGAGGGGATCAGCATCCACCTCATGGGTGATGGGCTTTGGTGAGGCCTGCCACTGAGCTAAGTTGCAGCTATAAACCAGACTCTGGATTTCTTTTATTTCTATTCTTATTTTTTTTTGTCTTCAGGAAAAGATGGATGTGGGGTCAGGATGGGTGTGGGGAGCAGGTGCCAGATCTTAGCTCCTTTTTGAGTTCATATGGCCTGAGCTGCTCTGGGGCTGGTGTCCCTGCAGGAACTGACCTCCATAGCACTCCTTTGAAGGAAGTAGTTTGGGGCTGGGACATTGTAATCCCTACCATCCACTGCCCTAGGAGCAGCTCCCCTTCTCCAAGCACCAGTCATGTTTTTCTGTTACTTACTCATCTTGTTTTTTACTGATCTTGTCCCTTCCCCCAGGGATGCTGGGGCTTCATGTCATGTGCTTTCCTTGTTGTGCCCATTTCCAGGATGGGATGGGCTCTTTCCTTAGATTCATCTTTCTTTCTCCATTAGACTCAAGTACATGTGTAAAATCTTACATACATCTGTTTCTTTACTTTTTTAAAAGAATAATGGAGGGGAGATGAGGAAGAGATATAGAAGCTATCAGCCCTCCTATTGCCAATGGGAGTTTCATATATAAGGAGGTCCTGATAGATCAGAAAGAGCCTGAACAGACTGTGGGAACATCTTCCACTACCCAGGAAGCCTGGGAAGCATGAAACCACACCATTGCTGTTTCTGGAGCCTGTTCCTGCATTCTATACCTCTCACTAGAGCTCACTCTAGCTGCTGTTACTTGCATTCTCTTGTTCTCACCTGTTCTCATTCTCCCTTGTTCTCAAGAAAATACAAGCACACAATGATATTCTGAGTCCTAATTTTCTGCTTTTCCTCTGGCCCACAACACAGTTATTTAGTTGATGAGTTGTGCTCCAATTCTCAAATCTTCCTGCCTTTATACCATCCCAAGACATACAGGGCCATACACACACTACACACTTAGACACCACGGCAACAGACACCATGTATTGTGGATGACACACAGCACAGCACATACCACCTTTCCCATACATAGCTGGGCCTCCCTGTCTAGCTGGGCCTATCTCACCGAGCTCATGCCTCAGGTACTCATCTTCTTTGCTCTACTCTTACACATCACCATCAGTTCTTCACCTTGTGCCTACTATGCAGCAATGCTGACCTCTCAGATGTCTGAGGACCTTGTTCTTTGAGCCTTAGGACCCAATACAGAATCCGATTACTGTTGTCCCTGGGGATGGGTAAGTAGAGGAGGGAGGAAGGGAGGGAGGGAACAATCATGACAGGAAGGTGGAAAGTTGGCCCATGACAAGATAAAGGCTCTGATTTGCCTGAGCTGATGAGGATGGTCCCCTTATCAGCCCCACCTTTCATGATCCTGGTCTTCTCACCTAGGCCTGAAAATAATGCAGGAATGAGGGCTTCTCACCTCGCTGGGAGGATCCGATTAGAGAAAGCTTTACTGAGACAAGCCTCTTAGACCTGAGCCACCTGTCTCCTCTGTGTTTGCTGTGGATAGAAACTGTGCTCCTGGGCCTTTCTAAGCATATCACTACACAGGGACCCTATATCTGTCCGTTTGCTCCTAAGTAGATCCTTCCTGTCATTTCTGTTTTACAGAAAATTGAGCTGTCAAGCCTAAGTCATACAGAAAAACCTGGGCAAGATTAGGCTCTGTGACCTGATGTATACAATCCAGTCATCCTTTTCCTTACTGGTCAGATTGTTCTGTGATGAAGGAGTAAAATCCAAGTTTTTCCAGACACTTTTATTTATCATAACATTGTATCTCAGACCTTGGCAATAACTCTCTCAGTCAAGGATGCTCCATGTGTAGTGTGTATGCTTATTTATTATTTGTTATTTTCAGTGTCCTCCTGGTGAGTACATTAGGAAGTTACAAAATTTGGTTCAGAGACCATTGGTTAAATGCTAAGTATTTGGGATTGTCAGGGGATTCCTGAGATGCTGGAGTCTTGGCTGATCATACTGAGGTCTTGCTACTCTACACTCGAGTCAATTTGGAAGTCTCTAGAGTTGTAGAGCTCACAGGCGGAATCTTTGACTTTTACTCTGGAGGAGCCATGAAGATGTACGGGATGAGTCTGGATCATAGAGACTCCAAAGGTTGGTGGCACCAATGGAATGAGGGCTTGGGCTTCTGGAATGTTCCTGGCTGTCTGAAATGAAGCATCCTTTCATGAAGGTTGGCAGGGGTCAAGTCAAGGTTCCTGGTCTCTTCATAGCTGGGCATCGAGGTCTCATCTGGGTGGGTCCAGGCTTCAAGAGGCTCCTATATCTGTGGGAGAGCCCCAGGCACAACCCATAACTTGAATGGTGGCTTGTTTCTGCATGGTTTGCAGGGCCTTGTGTAGTTTCCTGGGCATGAGTGGCAGCAGACAAGAACAAGGGGCATGGGAAGGCAAAGTGAAGTGGGTAGACAAGGGTGGGAAAAGGAGGAAGGCATGATTAAGACTCATACATAAAAATTCAAAGACATCAAATAAGTGGATCTCAGTGCCCTCCCTGGAGCCTAAATAGACCTTTCCTGGCATCAATTAAAATAACATTGAGCAAGTGTTATTTGAGTGAAAATGGAAAGGACTATGAAGTCATGGTGATGAGATTATTTTCCCTCAATGTTTCAAGTTTATTCATGTCTGCATTGTGATGTGGAAATTGATGGCATGGAATCTAGAGCTGAATTGCCTGGATTCAAAGCCTGTAGTACCTACTAACTGTCAACTGACAAGACCTTCAACAAGTTCCTTGAAACTTCTCTGTTGTTTGACCCTGAATCCATTAAAAAAAAAAAAAAAAAAAAAAAGGAACCAATAACAGTATCTAATTTTCAGGATACTGTAAAAATTAAAAGTGTTAGCAGATGTAAATAGTTATGAAAAACAAAATTTAAGAATCCTTATTTATCCTCAACCAAATGCATTCATCACAAATTAGAGCCCATCACTCTATCACAAACATTCAAACAAGCAAATAAACAAATTAAAGTGATTGGCTATGGTGAAAGGCATGCCGATCTGATATGCAAACTCACTGAAAACTGTATTTGCTGCTTTGGGTTACCTAAGATGAGGAAGATAGCTTATTGTGAGGCTAATAAGCAGAATTACAAGGATCAGGAGACAGGGAACTGTTTCCTTTGATTACAACCCTAGGCAGTGAGGCTGCCAGCTCTGGCCAGAACCTCCTTTCTAGGGTTATTGTTCTGGGCCTATATGTTATATGTCTACTCTGGCATTGCTATCCTGAAACCCTCAAGCAACTCCTCTTTCCCAGTGGGTAACCTTTATCACTTCAGTTAAGCTTCCTTGTAAAGATAGAGACAGCTGCATGGTGGGGCACTCAGTCTTCTCTGAGTCTGCCTCTGTGGGTTAACTTATTTTGTTGAGCTTTGAAACTGAGAGTGTGCCACAGATCCTTAGGACCTGGGCTTGTCTCAGGTATCAGAAGTCTTTCTACAGGGCCTCCCAGGAGCCTCTCTGGTGACCTTGTGACAGGTGGAGAGAAGATAACCAGACAAAGGCTCATAACTTTGATCTGATGGGATCTAAGAAGCTGAGAGTCTAATGTAGGCCAGTGTCTGAGGCCCTTCAATAGCCAACTGTGTCAGTGTATTCAAGTTCCTTTCAAAAGTGCTGCCTGGACAGTGTCACTATGCAGTTTGTAAAACTACTATTAAAAAAAAACTCTATTCCTTCTTTCAGTAAGATGGTAAATGCAGTTACTTCATTTATAGTGTTAGCTTTCAAAGATGTTTTTGTTACTTCAACACAGAATCGTAAGTCTTGCATATTGTGTCATTGCATGGGCCTCACCCAGCAGGTGGACATAAAGCAGAGTTCGGAAAGGTTTTAGGATGAGCAGCAGTCATTCTCAATTTGTCTTTTGTCCCAGACGGCATTAATTTCTCTTCCCGTAGAAAATGGAGAAGGCACTCTCCTGCCAGGTACAGGAGACTAGATTACAGGAACACAAAACATTCTGAAATATGCCCATTTGATTGCCCAATACCCTGATTCATCTTCTCCCTCCTTCTCTCTGGATTTCAGGGTCTGTCCTGGGAGATGCTGGGTGGAAGCACCATGCCTGAACAAGCATGTGCTCTGGGTGTTGAGTAATCATCAGCAGTGAAGAGTCAAGAGAGACAAGAGAAGCTGGAGAGAGGAGAGGTTTGCACACATGTACACACACACACACGGGTACATAGATGCATTTACAAATACTACATACATAACACCTATGCTTTATGTAACTCCATACACAAATATATACAATAAATAGGGGTTCTAGGGTGAGTTCAGCTGCCCTGGAAACTCAGCCTCCTCCATTGTGACAGCAAGACAGGTTCAGAGGGTGTCATGGGCTTGGCCTGATGCTGTCCGTGTGCCCTGTGGGCATAACCCTACCAACTTCTCAATAACAGCAAGCTGGATCCTGTTGCCACATACTTTCTACAGAGGAGAATTCTCAGGAGCATAAAGCCAGTGAGTGGTGGAGCTGAGCCCCTACCCTGAGGGCGCTTTCCTCTGGAAGATTCATCCTCACATTCTGTGGGAAACTTCCCTCCGAAAATGAGGCAGTCTGTTATAGTGCAAGAGCCCCACAGACCCTGGTGTTCAGTTCTACCTTTGGGACTTTCTGAGCCTCAGTTTCCTCATTCTACTTAACTGTGACAAGGTCTTCCTGGGATGGGGCTTAGGGTTTAAAGGCAACTGCGTAGTAAGGGTCCAGAAAAGATGTCTGCTTCTGTCTTCTTGTTTTAAGTTACTCATGAATTCCACCAAGAACGTTTTGAAATATATGCTCAACACAGAATCCATAACTTAGGTGATTCTTCTGTAGTCCTGTGTGGTCAGCAAAAGGTTGCTCTTGTACTGGACACAAGGAGCGTACACAGCCACACCCCACACTTCTAGGAGCTGTGTGTAGAGTGTGGTGCATGTGTTTATCCAGGCCTCTCTGTACATAGTCTGTATGTGTGTTTATGTACCTAAGTCTGTGTGTGACACATAAGTATATGTTCGTGTGCATGTGGTGTCCATATCTGTATGTAGCTGTATATATATGTGTGTATGCATGTATTTGTCTTTCTATATGTGTGTAGTGTTTGTGATTATATATGTAGTTGGTGATGTGTGTAGTTGTGTTTGTGACCCTAGATGTGTGATATGAGTGTGTATAATGTGCTGTGCTTAGGTTTGTGTATGTAGTGTCTATGTTTTTGTGTAGTTATGTGTTGTGCATGTGTTTATGTTCATGTACTTGCATGTACATACATGTATCTGTATGGTTGAGTGGGTATGTGTGTAGGGTGTGTGCATGCACCCCTCCTCCCAATTTCTCTTTTCTGCCTTTGTGCATTTGTGCAGGGAGGGGCTAGAGGTGCGGACAGGTTCCAGCAAGCCTTCAGTGGGGAGTCGACATCTCTCTCCCCTACATTTGCACTTTATTTCACAAGCCACTGTGGGGAGTAGAGCTGCTGGCAGCCAGTGCTCACCCTCCACCTTCCCTAGGCGGGTGCCTCACACTTGCTTATTCACGAGGTGTGTGTGAGAGAAATGCTTATTTTTACCCAGCCCTGACAGGGTGTGATGGCAGTGTGGAGGAGGGGCCTGTCAGCCTCTCAGGGGTACTGAAGTTGGAACTATCTTGGCTTTCTCATTTTATTCCCCTCTTCATTCACACTACAGTTTTCTCTTGGGAGTCAGGACTCTTGGTAGCTGGTGGTGGGCTTTAGGTGCCATATCTTGGAGGAGCAAGGAGAGCCGTAGCCTTGGACATCCCAGAATTAGCACTGACACTGTGGAGAGCTGAGACACAGGCCCTAAGTTGAAGTCAGACGTGTCTGGTCTGAGTTCTGCAGCCTTTCCACTGGGCTCTGCCTGCTCTAAGTGCTCTCTACAAAATCCACAGAAGTCAGCTCTCTTAACCAGCAACTCAGAGCTTCAGCATGCACTGGCCTGGAGTCCTACTGCTGGGGTCTATGTGCTTTTGGATCTGAACCTGGGCCTGTCTTCCTTACAACCCACTGTTCAGTCTCCCAAGTCTGGGAGAGGGCACATTGGCTGTTCCAGGATCATGCTGATGATGAAGCCCAGCGTGGTGTCAAGACTGAGCCTTAATGCACCTATCTACGTCTTTGGGTGCTGTCTTGTCTCCTAGGAGGCCAAGTTCTCTGCACCCACAAACTCCACACACTGGCTGGAGACCCTCTTGCAGTTCCTGTCTTAGGTCTATGGGTGGCTATGGTTTGCACATGCTCTGGGCACCTCCTGTCCTGTAGCTCCTCTGTCTCTGTTCCTCCTGTATGCCCATGTCAGACTTTTATGCTTGCTGTTTCCTCTGTACCCATTTCTATTCTCCACCATCTGCATTCAGACTCAAAATATTTCCTGTAAGGTCTCCCATGCAGGGATGACTGATTTCCCACACCTCTCCTCTTTTCTTCTCCCTTTCCTTCCCTCCCCTCCTCTTCCCTCTCCTTCTCTTCCTTTCCCTTTTCTCCCCTTTTCCCTCCTTTCTCCTCCCCTCCCCTCTCTCCTTCTCCTCTCCTCCTCTTTTCTTTTTTCTCTATCTTTTCCTTTCTTTTCTTTCAATAGGCACTAAACTCAGGGTCCTGAGCTTTCTAGGCAAGTACTCTTGACTGACTGACCCAGCCCTTGAGCCATGACTTCACTGAATATCTCTAGCTGGTCTCAAGATTCACATTCATCTTATGTTAGCCTCTCTAATTCTGGGATTACTATGTGTTCACATGCTTGGCGCCTACACCATTCTTAAGAGCTTTTTCTTAACAGAAAGTGTCCAGTTTTAAATGGTTAAATTGTTGACCCTTCAGAGGACTCTAAACTCTATGTGGCTAAGATGGAATGTGGTCCCTTTCAACTAGCCCTTGACACCAGGTACTGACTGGCCTGCCCCATGGCCATCCTAGAAGTCCTCCCACTTCCAGCCTAGACGGGATAAGGTCACTTACCTTTCTTGGCTGTCAGTTTGGATCTAAGAGCAAGGTGACAGCAGGGCTTGAGTCTTGGGGACTTGACAAGATTCCTTCTGCCTGAGAAGTAAAGAAGTACAGATCCTTTTTCAGTGGGCCAGGACCACCATAGGCCTGATCTGTACAAGGATGACTTGGGAGAACTTCTACTCAGAAAATGCGGAGTTCAAAAATATTTGTTAAAATCTGGGCAGTGGTGGCACACCTCTTTAGTCTTAGCACTCAGTAGACAGAAGCAGGCAGATCTCTGAGTTCAAGGACACCTTGGACTACAGAGAAAGTTCTAGGACAGCCAGAGTTTCACAGAGAAACCCTGTGTTGAAAAACAAATCAATCAAACAAACAAACAACAAAAAATATTTCTTAAAAACAAACAACCACCTCCAACAACAACAACAAACCAGGATGAGGTTGGTGAGGGAGAGAAGAGGTAGCCTATGTCATGTGACTTTCCAGAGCTAAAGTAGATGTTGGAGATCACTATACACTCTGAATGTTTCCTCCTCATGATGTTGTTTGAAAAAACATAGCACTGTGGAGAAATGTCTTTGTGCTTAGATATTAATTCTGACTGGCAATCCAGATCTGTAGTCTAAGAAAACATCCTAAATACAGCAAACCTTTTACATACATAAAGATTTTGTGACTGTATAGTTAATATAGTGTGTTTGAGCACATGAATTCATGAATGAACACTCAGGATGGCAAGTCATGCACACACATGTCTGTTGAGCAATATAAACCCTGAAGCTGCTGGATACAGTCCTAAATGGAAGGAAGGTTTATGGTCAAAGATGTCATTCTCATTTACTTTCCATTAGAATCATATTGGTGACCTTGAAATTGTCCAAAAATAGAGGTCTGATAAGGCAGTGCCATGGACTGTGCTGAAGAACCTAACCACTGTCTTCCTTATTAGGAGGTACATTTTCACTCCAGAAACTTTGGAGAAAACAAACAAACAAATAAATAAATAAATAAATAAATAAATAAATAAAAACCAACAAACCAACCAACCAAACAAACAAAAACAAATGTTCCTTGTAACCCTACTTCTCGGAGAGGAAGGGCTGAAGTTAATTATCAGTATTTTGGGAAATTAAATATATGGTGAGAGGCTGTTGTTGTTTTTTTAAATTTGTTATGTCCACTGATTGTTAAAATCGTAAATATTGATATAATAGAGTAGGTAGAAGGAGGTTAAGTAAGAGAAAAGCTCCAATAGCTTTTAGACTGAAGAAAGGCAATAAGGAGACGGAAAGGTGACTCAGGCTTTAAGAGCTCTTGCTGCTCTTCAAGATAGCCCAAATTTGCTTCCAAGAACTTAAGTCCAGTGGCCCACAACCACCTGTAATTCCAACAGCAGGAAATCCATCCCTCTCTTCTGGCCCTTGAGGGCATCTGCACACATGTGGCATATCCACACACAGACCCATAAATAAAACCTTACAGGCAGCAGGTATAAATAGTCTCCTCTACAAGGATAAAAAGATCCCAGCCAGGATACAAAGTGAATAAATTGTAATACATGAATAAATTTTTAAAAAGCTCATGTACGTTCCCCACACCCGAACACACATCAGCATCCCCCCCACACATCCCCCTATTGTACATACTCATCCCTTCTGCCCATGGAGCCTTCTGTGAAGAGGATTTGAAATACTCGAGTTCACATAGTCAATTGTCCATTTACTTTGTCCCAAACACAACGTAAGTGACAACAGGGTTTTCCTGATTTTCCAGACGAGAATGACTCAGGTGAGTGGCTGAGCGGATTTGTGCTTGCATGGTCTCAGTTTGCAGCTTCATATACGTTCAAAAAAAAAACTCCACTTCCCCAAATTCTGTGTGCATGTTTTCCTCAACCAAAGGAGCCATTTCCTTGTTACTTTCGGAAGAAAAGATGGTTGTTTGTGATGCCTATTAGCATACCAAAGCACAGGCTGGCCTCCAGGACTCATCAGTAGAACAACTACTCCTGCTCTTCTCAGTTCTTCTCATCCTGCTCTTCTACCCTAAACTTCTCTAGCTCATGGGAGTCCCTTCCCCAGCTTCTGTTTCCCATTTAACCCTGACATTTCAGCCATGTGCTCTCTCTTTTCTCTTCCTATCTTGCCCTGTCCCCGACTCTCTTGGTTTCCTTTGCCAGAATTCTTTTTGTCTTCTTCTCTCCCTCCTCTCCTTCCTCTCTTCTCTCATGACCAAGTTTGCTGGCACATTCACTTTACTACCTCCTCTCTCTGCTCTGGATTGTTCTAGATGCCTCTGGCTGTACTTACCTGACATCTACAATAAAAAGCTTCTCCTTAAATGGTTAAGCAACCTTGAAACAGCCATGTTATCCATTTATACAACTGGTGCCAAAACCTTCAGTTTACACAGTTAGGCCCTCAGCATGTTTGGGAGCACACAGACCCTATGAGGCCTAAAGTCCCCCAAGCTATTTTCTACCTTATTGGGTGCTGTGGCAGATGGAATATCTGCATTGTTCTTTCCAGTGTTCAGGACTCTCTGCCGGGACCCCACCAGTTTCTGTTTGAAGCCTTCCCAGACTATGGAATCAATGATCAGATGCACGTTACCTTCTGAGGTGAGAATGCAGAAGCTGAGGAGCAGCATGCAGAGCAGAGTGGAAAGGACTAGAAGTCTCATAGTGAAGTAGCTGGAACCTCACAGCTAAGGCAGGAGTGACGAAACAAAAGGCCTCCCTTTGGCCTCTGGAGACATTTATAGGGTGGCAGAGAGGCGTTCCCCAACAGGAAAGGCATGAGCCCTAGAAGTCTCACAAGTACAGTCAGCCCCTCCCAACAAGACAATAAACCAGCTCTTCAAGAAGGCAGCAGGATTAGCTGACTTGTTGCGTGGACCTGTAAATGTCTAGCCCTGAGAGCTGTTCTGTGTTGGCCTTAGTGCTTAGAGAAGGAAACTCTTGGACAAGGAAAAGCCACTGTCCAGGGTTGAATGTTAACTTTTAGAGTCAGCAATAACTCCATAGAATTCAGATCTTCCTGATCTCTTGTAAATGTGGCTGGAAAAGGGGCCATAAAACCAAAGGCAAAGCCTTGTGGAGAGCCAAATGGCTTAGGTTTGAATCCTTTGACATTCATCAGCAGTGGTATCTTGAACTTGTCATCATTAAATATCTCTGAGTCAGCTGTCCATATGTGAAGTGGACACAGAGCTGCCTGAGGACATGTTCCAGAAGTCATCTATTCCAAGCTGGCCACTTATAACATTGTTAACTTATGCGGGCACCACAGCTAGTCCCTGGTGGGCAATTGGCAAGGTGATTAAAGAGTGGTATATGCCAGCCCAAGCAAGGCATGACAACTAGGAGAATCTGACTCAAGGAGTAAGGGAGTGTTACACAGTGGCAAGAGGCTAGATCACCTCCTGCCATGTCTCCTGGACCTCTACTGTCCTAGACATGTCCTGCACTGGGATGTGATACTGTACCTGACCCCAGAGCCTGCTGTGCAAAGAGGTGACTGCCACACCACATAGCTCCATGTCAAAGGCCCATGAAAGCTGTACAGTCAGTTGTTAACGAACAAGAGAAGGCTGTGCAGGGGTGGAGTAGATAGTGTTTGGTACTAGAGTGGGCTGGTATGGTAGATCAGGTTGTGGTGAACTTCCTGGACCACAGAGGAGTTATATTGGACAAGATGAAAAAGGGAGGGCTAGTGTCTTTTGGTTGAGTAGATGGCTGGATGCTTAGGGCTCCTTTTCTGTTAGGAATGGTCTATTGTCTCTAAGACACATGTCCTAAGCCTAGGGAGTGAATGGAAGGCAGCTTCCTGTGGGGCAGGGCAAACACAATATTGTATGCATGCCTTAGCACGTGCCAGGCCTTGGTCTTGAGGGTAAGAGGAGCCAGGTGAGAGATAGTGAGAAATAGTGGGTGAGCAATTTTCACACACTTTGATGAGCCTTTGCTCAGTTCTGCTCAAATGCCCAACTCCTGAGTCAGTTCCTGTTCCTTCTCCCAGGCCGAGTCCAGAAATCTTCTCTCTCAGGCTTTTCTGACACCCGGTGTGGTAATGTTGAAGGTTAACTCCCAGACTTCTCTTTCTTCCCAAGAATAGAGGTCCAGGAGACAAATGGCCTGAATCCAGGGAGCAAAAGGAGTGTAGGACAGACACTGGGCCTGTGGCAGCATTATGATTCACGGGCATCTCTGAGGAGCTGTGAATGACACAGGGCTCTGCAATGCCAAGACTGTGCTGGAGTCTAAGGTACCTGGCCACCTCTGCCCAGGTCAGGCTGTCATTCTGGAAAGGATTGAAGATAAGGTGTTAATCCTAAGATTCGCTTAGGAAAACAAATTCCACCATTTTGGATTAAATTTAAAGGAAGCTTTATTAAATATTAAATACTGGCCAAGAGATGGACTTTGGTCAGGACCATTCCCTGGGATTTTCCAGCTGAATGGTCCTGAGACCATTGTGGCAGTTTATAAAGACTAACTTATAGGCCTCTGAATTTCACTATGGGGTTTTGTTATTTTCCAAGAACTACAACCCCCATTCCAGGAATGGGATTCCAAATGGGGCTTACAAGTTAATTTTTGGGTATTGAAAAGGCTTGGGCATAAGGAGGTAAACTAACAGAACAGAAACTGGCTACATTACATACATCCAGATAAGAACTTAAGGAATAAAAGACCGAGAAGCATGCAAATGTTCTTCCAGTCAAGTGCAAGGGACATGTGTGGGAGGCACTTTTCATATGATTGGGCATGAGGAAGCAGTTGACTCTGGCTTTAGGAGAAGTATGGAATATTGGTAGGTGGGCCAACCTGCAGGAACTCCCTTCTTGAAGGTTTCTAGAGCCTTCCTATATCCTGAGATCATCATTATGGTGGGACAGCAACTGTCCTTTGCCCTGATAAGCATACCTCTCCTGTAATAGGGAATAGATGGCTGGTTTCTAACCTAGCAGGTACCGTAGGAGGGTGTCACATTCTGGCCAGCTCTCCAGGATATGCCTTGCTGCTGGAGACTGGCCCATGGTACCTACACTTTCCCTGGGCTCTTTCTGCTGCAGGCTAGAGACACACTTTAGGTTCATGCGCAAAATGGTTCAGAGAGAAAATCAATGGCCAGGGGACATTTTAACCAGCAGCCTATTCTTTTTATAGATGTGAGAAAATTTACAGTTAGTTCACCCAAAGGAACTAGTTCAGATTCCTGGTTTATGTAGGACTGTAGGTCATGTCAGACCAGTCCTTGCCTCTCTGCTAGCTAAGGTGTTCTTTTTACTCTAATGCTACCTCAAGAGGAGATGAATATTTCCAACAGTGGCTGCCCCACCTCTCTCCTGGGCACCAGCTCTGGAGTTCTTCCTGAACTCAAACTGTTTAGTGGGTACAGAGATTAGAGGAGGGCTAACCCGAATCTTCTGACCCACTACCTCAGGCTCCCATCATTTTCCTGGGATTTGTCAGCACTCCACCATGGAAACAGAAATGGGCTTTTTGTTCTCAGCACAGCTTCCTCCTCATTGCAGGACAAAGCCACCAGGACAATGTTCAGCTAAGGGTTGGAGGAATCAACCATCTTGGGGGCTTTTCCTGACAGACACATAATACAGAATTCTCACATTTGTGGGGTTTGCTAGAGGAATGGATTCCTATGTTGGGATTTTGCCTGCTTTTTAAATGTTCACAAAAACCTACTGAAGCAAATTAAAATAGTACAGGGTATATAACATAAACTCTGAGCTCAGCCTCAGCCCCAGGGACAATCACTCTTCTCAGATTTTCACTTACTTTTAACATTTCAAAGATAACTGCCAACTTCTTAAGAAAAGGAAGAAACACTTCTGGCTTTTTAGAATATTCAAAATCTCATGTTGAGGTGAAAATGAGAAGCATCTTAATGGGGACACCTGTTAGTCTTAAGCATATGCAGTTTTAGTCTGGAAAAACAATACCTAACTTTTAATGATTTCCAAAGATGTTGAAAACTTGGCAGCCATCCTGAGAAGAAAGTCTCTGGAGACACACCCAAAACAAGGGGGAGTTTATAAGGAAGGGGGGAAAAAACATTTCAAACCAAATTTGTCATTTCTAAGAACATTGAGGAAGAAGCTGCCTGAGGCTTCCCCACCCTGTTTGCTCACTTTTTGGGCTGAGTTCCACACCCCAGGCAGCACCTGCCTTTTCTTTATGGACCACGTGGTTGACAAGAAATTACTCTCCCTCCTGTGTCCTTGGCAAACTGCAGAGCAGCAAGTAATGCAGGGTGACAGCAGGTCCCAGGCTCTGGCCTTTCCTCATCCCCACCCCACTTGATCTTAGGGAAATGCAAGAAGTCATGGCCTTGCAGTCCTGAGTTTCTCAACTGGAACTGTATTTTTCAGACTCCAAAGCTGTTGTTCTCATCAGAGTTTTAAGGTGCATGCATAGTGGAAGCCCAGCTGATGGTTTTAATAGTTCACAGCTAACCTGAACTGAACTTCCTCATATGCCTTTATTCTATCCACTTGGTCTTTCCTGTCTGTGGGCTTTGTGCTGCTGATGGCAAGGCTGGTGTGTGTGTGTGGTGGGGTTGCTCCCTCAATCCATGCCCTTGATGAGGGATTAGCCTCTGCTCTCACTGTTGTGGTGAAACTTCTACTGTTATCTTTCATCTCCCTGACACCAGGTAGTTCTCCCACAGCATTGGTTGTGGAACTACCCTGTCTTTCTATGGAGGCAGCAGTTGGTCAGTTTTCTCCACAGATAAGATTCCCAAGTGTTGTATCCTCTACCAGCCCACAAAGGCTTGCAGGAAGAATTTTTTTTCTCCTTCTTCTCTTTCTCTGCTCTTCCATCGTTGCTGCTGATTGGTGTTGAAGGCAGTCTCTGTGCTCTTGATGTAAACAGCTCAGCACCATTCACTTCTTTGCTTGAATTTAATGGCTTTAGAGTTCATACATGAGCACATACCACTTTTGTTTCTGTGCCTTGCTTATTTAACACAACACCCAGGTTGTTGCTTTTGGAAGATTTGCCCTTTCAAGTCTAATAGGATTATGTTGGATATATATACCAGATGTCTGTTGTCCACTCAGCCACGGATGGACACTCAGGTTGATTCTCCACTTTGGCTACTGTGAACAGCTCTGGGATGGATACAGGTGTGCAAATATCTTTTCAACATGCTGATTTCACTTAGGTATATAACTAGAAATGGATGCCTCGCTTTCTTTTCCAATAACCTGTCTCCAAACAGTATACAATGACCACATATGTTAAAAGATATCTGATGCTTCTTTAATAGAAACCTTCCACACACACACACACACACACACACACACAGAGAGAGAGAGAGAGAGAGAGAGAGAGAGAGAGAGACGGACAGACAGACAGACAGAATTTTAGGTCTTCCTAAGTTATAACAGGAGACAGTCAATACATGCACATGCTGATTTTGATGAACAAAAGGTGAGGACAAGTAGCGCCCATTTGAGACTCGGCAGAAAGGAGGGGTTGGTCTTGGGTTTTCTCCACTGATAAGGTTCCTGAATGTCTCATTCTCTACCAGCCCACAACAGCTTCCTGGAAGACTTTTCTCTCTCTGCTCTTGCATGGCCACTGCAGGTTGGTATTAAAGCCAGGGTGGCAGTCTCTGCGCTCTTGATGTAAACAGCCCACCTCCATTCACTTC